ACAAGTTTCTATGTGAAAAACCCAAGACTCAAAAAATGTCTTTCTTATAAGTAACAAAATAACTCAGCAGCACAAGTGGATACATAAAGTTTTTCATACTATAATTATTGGTTAAAGGAATAATAGGGAAAATAGATTATATTCACATTTTTAAAAATCAAAATATGTAGAAATTTATTCATGTACTTAATAAACACTAAGTACCTATTATGTGCTAGGCATTGTTTTTAGTTCTGGGGTTATAACAGTGAACCAATGAGTCTAAGTGGCTACCTAGCTTACATTCAAGAAAGGCAAATGTGACACACAGAAGAAGTTACAAAAACTGTATAATCGTACGAATGACTTTAGTAAAAAGAGATATATGTCTTTGGATAGAAGTATGGAATACTCAAAACATGCCAGTTTTTTGCTGAGAAGACCTAATGGAAGATGAACTTTCAGAAACTGCTAATGGAGTAAAAATTGGTATGCTCTTTTGGAAAGAAATCCAGCATTGTGTATCAACATTTTCAAAATGCTCCTAATCTTTAAACAGGTATTCTATTTCTAGAAATAGTCGGAAATGTGCAGAATAATATATCCATTTAATAATTAGAGTAAGTTACAAAAACAGAAAATGTAAAAATAACCTAAATGTCAATAGAAAGGGAAAAGTTGAGTACAATTAACATACATCTAAATGATTAAATACTATGTAGCAATTAAAAATAACATTTTAACAAAACAGGATATTAATAATATAATGTTAAATAAGGGAAAAGATAAAACCTGGAGAAAATACTTCAAAATGTTAGTATATTATCTGTGGTTAACTGAAAAAGTTATTCTTAAGCCTTTCTTCATTTTCAGAAATTTTCTATGTTATTTTTAGAGAAAAATACTTAAGAAATTAGGCTAATCTACTTATAAAGTCGACACAATCCATCATATATTAAACTGAATGGTTAAAATTTAACAAGGATGGCTTTATAATATAGTTATCACAAGAAAAAAAAAAACTCGAACTCTGAGAAATTTCCACTTTGAAGCACGCATAGGAGGTACTGATATACTAGGACCACCTTCCTACTGTAAGTCACTTAAATCACTTAGGGCTGAAGTAATGCACTCTATTATTTCTGCAACTTCAATATAGTCAATATGCTCATCATGGTGCCTGGCACTGTGTAGTATTAAATACTATTTCCTAATATTTCATTAAATGATATAAACAATTTTAACATTTCAAAATAGCGCTATTTTTTTTAAGTAACTTTTATTTTTCAATTATAGTTGACATACATTGTATTAGTTACAGGTATACAACCTAGTGATTAGACATTATGTAACTTAGAATCTCATACACCTGTTACCATTTATAGTTACAGTATTACTGACTATATTCCCTAGAGTCCCTATTACTATATTCCCTATTCACTTCACATCCCCCTGATTATTCTTAACTGCCAATCTGTACTTTTTAATCCCTTCACCTTTTTCACCCATCCTTGCAACCCCCTCTATTCTGGCAACTGTCAAAAGATTCTCTGTCTCTATGACTATTTCTATCCTGCTTGTTCATTTTTTAGATTCAATTGTTGATATGTAAGTACTGCCATTTTATTATTAATATTTTTGATCCTTTTTTTCCCTTTTTCTTAAAGAAGAGCCTTTAACATTTCATATAATACTGGTTTGGTGGTGATGGACTTTTAGCTTTTTCATGTCTGGGAAGATCTTTATCTGTCCTTTGATTCTAAAAGATAGCTTTGCTATCTTTTATCTTGGTTGTACGTCCTTGCTTTTCTTTTCAAATATTTCTTGCCTATCCCTTCTGGCCTCAGTTACTTTTAAGAAATCAGCTGGAAGTCTTATAGGAGCTCCCTTTTAGGTAAATTACTGCTTTTTTTTTTTGTTGCTGCTTTTAAGACTCTGCCTTTAACCTTTGGCATTTTAATTATGACGCACCTCTGGTATGGGCCTCTTGGTGCTCATCTTGCTTGGTATTCTCTGCACATCCTGGACTTCTAGGTCTTTGTCCTTCACCAAGTTAAGGAAGTTTTCCATCATGTTTTCACATACATTTTCAATTCCTTATTCTTTCTCCTTCCAGCACCCTCATGATGTGAATGTTAGTATGCCCAAAACTGTCCCACAGGCTCTTTATACTACCCTCATTTTTTGGATTCCTTTTTGTTTTTGCTGTTATGATTGGGTGATTTCTGCCTCCTTATCTTCAAAATCTGCTTCATCTACTCCACTGTTGTTCCCTGTAATAAATTCATTTTGATGAATATATTCATTTCTGACTGGTTCTTTATGTTTCCTAGTTTCATTTTTATGTTTCCTCTTTGTTGAAGTTCTAAGTTCATCTACTCTTCCCCTAAGTTTACTGAGTATCTTTATAACCAGTGTTTTAAACTCTGCATCTAGATTTTTTGTCTCCATTTTTCCCCCCAGCTTTCTGGAGTTTTGTTCTCTTCTTTCATTTGGGACATGTTTCTTTGTCTCATTTTGGCTGTCTCTGTGTTTGCTTCTATATATCAGGTAGAGCTGCTATGTCTCCTGGGTTTGGTAGAGTGGCCTTATACAGTTATGTGTCCTGAGGGATCCAGTGGCACAGCCTCCCCATTCACCTGAGCTGGGCACTCCGAGTACACCAACCCTACACCACTGTGTGGGCTGTGTATACACCCCTGTTGTAGTTAATCTTGACTGCTGTTGGCATGTCAACAGAAGGGATTTACTCCTAGGCTAATCAACTGCAAGGACTAGCTGTAACCATGGTGGAGGATCAGCTGTGCAGGGACCCACCTGACAGGGTGGGACTCAGTGGGGCTCCAGGGCCCATTCAGTCTGCCTCTTGAGTAGGTCACATGTGGAGGTGGTTGGGTAGTACTTTGACATCTGATGCTGTGCACCAACTGCACTGGCTCTGGGGCCTCCAGAAAGGTGCAGGCCAAAGTCAGCTATGGCCGGTGCTCTGCCCAGGGTCACGTGGCATGAGCTACAAAGTGATCTGAAGGTGACTACTACTTGTGCTTGGTTTGGAGGTACCCAACTGAGGCCAAACTGCAAACCAAGCCCGGCTGTTGCTAGTGCTGGGCGAGGGGTCATGCAGCGAGAGAAGTATGGGGCAAGCTGAGGCCAGATTCCACTTGAGAAATTTTAGGAAAATATTAAGTATGAGCCAAGACATGTCATTCATATGGAAAAGCCACTGGAAACAGCTTGGGTTGGCCTGCAGGTTGGGTGGGGCAGGGTCTCAGGGAATCACCAGAGCAGGACAAAGAGTGACAGACATGTTAATGGAGACCTAGTGCCCGCCTGCTGGATCTGTAGTGGGAGGGCTCAGAAAAGTGACAGTGGCCTCTGCCAGCACTTCCCTCTGGGAGAAAGTTTCCCCTCCAGCTCTCACCTGATGCCTTTTGAGCTGCTGTCCCAGTGCTGGAGCTCAGAGTGAGTCTGAGTAAGTCTGTGTGCCTGGGACTCCAGAAGCCCTCTTTTCACTCAGCCACAATCTCCGCTGGTTTTTACAGCCAGAAGTTATGGTGCTCTCTCCTTGGCACTGGAACCCAGGGCAGGGGCAGCTAGTGTGGGGGTGAAATTGCTGGATCCTCAGGGGGGGGACCTCCACAGCCAAGATATCCACCCTGATTTTTATCTACCACATGTGGTGTAGGATCAGGCTGTTCTATGTCTCTAGTTCCTGTCCAGTCTTGATGTGGCTTCTTCATAGACTTAGTTGTAATACTTACGTTCAGCTAGATTTCAGGCAGTTTTGAATAATGGTGTTCTGCAGTTTAGTTGTAATTCTGATGGGGTTGTGGAGGACCCGAGTACATTTACCTATGCCGCCATCATGACTGAAACCCACAACAGTAATATTTTAATAGCAGTTCCAAGCTAATTATGGTGTGTTATTCCTAGAGAATCAATTCCAATTACAGCAGTATATAAAGCTGTTCAAATCTTGCATTATCTGTCTTGTGAAAAAATTTTAATAATAAATAATTTTTTGATAAATAAAAATATTGACAGAGCCCTGACCAGGTGGCTTAATTATTTGGAGAGTTGTCCTGTACACCAAAAGGTGGCAGCTTCAATCCCCAGTCAGGGCACGTACCTATGTTGCGGTCTGATCCCCGATCAGGGTGCATATGGGAGGCAATTGATTGATGTTTTTCTCTCTTGCCCTCTCTCCCTTCCTCTCTCTCTAAAAGTCAATAAAACGTATCCATGGGCTTGGGTGAGGATTAAAAAAAAAGTACCAAGAGAGAAGTCATCTTATGTTACCATTTCAAAGCATTAATGCTTTGGAAAATAACTGTTTAACTAATGGTAACATCTCACCATGCCACCATGGTCTTTTTTAATCCCCATTTGTGGATTTATTTTTATTGATTTTAGAGAGAGAGGAAGTGGGGAAGAGAGAGGAGGAAAAAAAACATCGATCAGTTGCCTCCAGTGCATACCCTAACTGGGGATTGAACCCACAACCTAGGGATGTACCCTAATCAGGGATCAAACCTGCAACCTTTTGGTGTATTGGATGATCCTCAAACTAAATGAGCTACCTGTCCAAGGTACCAAGATGTTTTTTAATTGATAAAACTGTTGATTTTTGAAACAGGCTTAAACTCTGGTTAAACTTTGCCATAAGCCATTTTCAAGACAGCAACAGAGCTTTTTTCTTACTTTTTGATATATACAGCATTTATTGAATATGAATTCTGATAGAATGATGATGGTGTGAGAATGCTCATATATGCATATGTGTGTGGTTGATAGAAATACCATGTTGTGATGTAAATGGATACAATCACTAGCTTACTTTTTAAAATAGCCATTAACTCACACTTTAAATATTAGAAAAAATAAAACTACTCTAGAAATAAAAAAATGACCTACATTTTTAATGAGCACTTTATCCTTCAAAAAGTAGCCTCTGTAATTTATTGAAGTAATGGAATATAAAATACTTGTAATAATGGTAGAATTACATTTCAGATACTTACTGAGACTCAACTTCTTGTTTAATTTCTTGCCATTCTCCATATGGGTTTGGTTTTTTATGTGCTTTGGATTTTTCTTCATTTGATCCTGATGACTTCTGCTCTTGGATTTTTTCTTTCTGTTTTTCTGGTTCAGTTCCTTCACCACTATTTTTATTTTTTTCCTAAAATGTCAAAGCCAAGAATTAATGCACCACCAGGACACAAAATTTCTTCAAGTCTTGTTATTGATTTATAAATAATAATAAACTCAATAGTTGAAATCTGCACATAACACAACAAATGTACATAAAAAAATTCAATGCTTGATTAGGTTTTTCATTACATCTGTAACGTTAACACACCATGGCCAAGGCTGATTTTAAAATAATACATAATCTTATTAATGTTCTACATTTAAAGACATACACTACCCTTTTTTACTCCCTTTTTTGCTTTCTGTCCTTACACATCCAACATCGATTCTCTTTTATACTGTGCTCCTATTGAACTTAATGTCATGGCATTGGACCTTTCTATACCTATTATTTAAAGAAGTCCATCAAACTAATAGTCTTAACTGAAATCTGTCTTTATATTGAGTATGTTACCATTAACTTTAGTGTCTGATACAACTGGTAGCTATGTAAAATTAGAAGACACATTCTGGAGGTATAAGCAGCTCCCACAGGAGTTCCTGAGTAGGGGTGGTGCTTTTACGGCTGCCCTTCATCTGGGATAACAAAACTCTGTGGTCCAGTTTAGCAAGTGGACTCCGCACTGGATTTCAGCCTCTGTGCAACTGCACAACTGTGGGTGGCAGTCCTGGGATAGTTATGTTTGCAATTCTTTGAGTGGATATTAACTTATTCCCTCATGCTACTAGTATCATAGCACTAGGTGCCAGCAACCACTTTCTCTTAGCAATCTTGACTGCTTCCAGGCCATGGTTTTTAATAATTTTTTTTTTTTTTTACTAAGGTCATACTTTATACTTCAATCCTTTTCTTCTGAGGCTTCTAATACCCCCTTCTATACAGTTCTCTTCCATTCCTCCTTCTATGATCTAATGATGTCTGACCATTACTCAATTTTCACTGATGACTGTGGCAACTCTGGCATCATGTTCTATTTAAACTCTTGTCTTCCTAGAGCTTAAGAATTTCCTAGCCTCAGTTTTGCAAGCTTCAGAACCAATGACTTTGGTCTTCACTATACAGACATACTTCAGAGATATTGTGGGTTCAGGTGCATACCACTGCAACACAGTGAATCCTGTAATCTTTTTGCTAGTGGAAGTCTTGCTTTCACGTTTTGTGAAACAAAGTATCTGTGAAATGCGGTAAAACTAGGTATGTCTGTATTTAGCCACCTAAATGGTGTATATGATAGTAAGTACTTTGTCCTTGTTTATCTGTATTTTGCAATGTTTTGTTTGACTACTATTTGTCTCAGGTTGAATGCTGTTACCTAAACTTGACTATAAACGTTGTGAGATGGCTACCACTGTAAGATCTTTGCTGTTGCTCCTCTACGAACAGGGTACATCCCTCACCCTAAGTTCTACCAAGATTTATGGGGTAGGTTGAGAAATTTCAGGCAATGACAAGATCCTAGCTGTGGCCTCAAAGAATCCTTTCCCCAGCATCCTTGGTATTCCTTCACCTCTCAGGCCAGCACTCTCAACCATGGCTCAATGCTGTGTGTCTTGTCTGCTTCGGCACCTGTGATCCAGAGTGTTCCTAAAAAGGTCACAAAAGCAGGACCAGTAATATGATATAAATCTGTGTTTACTTTTCCACTATGGCTGGGTGCTCAGCACCACCTGTCAATCCTCTTACTTGGTTCATTTCTTCTCCCAGCTCAGTAACTATTTCAATCCATTAATGTAAAGCTTGCCAAAGCTCCTCACTCTTAGCAAACAATCTTGATTTCTATATAAGTAAATGGATACTAAATGGCATGACTCTTTCAATTTCTTCCCTGATACCAACTCATCCGTAGTTATATCTTCTTATAGAAAATGAAAATCTTACCTTCTTACAGAAGATGAATCTATGCCTTATTCAAGACCAATCCATCCACCAACCCTTGCTGGTATTCCCTTTCTACCTTTGGGGTTCCTCTGAACAAAAACATCACCACCACAAAGCTCTCATGATTAAGAGTCAATATGTAACCAACCCCCTATCATCTAATTTCTACTTTCATTTCATATCCAAACCATATATACCACATAATGAGCTACTTTTCATCCCCCTGTAATCTGAGTTCTACCATCCAAAACTGGTGAAACTACTAGAAGGGGATTAAGGACTTCATTACTGCAAATTAAATGAACATTTTCTTTTTCTGGCTTAAGTATTCCTTGATGCTCTCAATTCTTTTCACTTCTGTGATATTAAATTTTTCTGCTTCTCTTAAAACCTTTCTGATCATTCTTTTCTCATTCAACTTTGTGGGCTCCTCTTTCTCTGCCTGTCACTTAAATGTTTAATGTTCTCCAAAGTCACTTTCCTAGATTACTGCACCCATTTTGAGATTTAAATTACTGCCATTATGTTGATGATAGTCAAATAGCATTTGTAGCCTAGACATTCAGACTTGCACGTTCAGAAAGCCTTCTTACTGTTACAAAGGCATCTCAAGCTTAGGTCTAAAAAATTTACTGTCTTACTAGCAAATAGATAACAATAAATGGTATCACTATTTACCCAATTGCCAAAATATAGGTCTTGGTTTTATGTCTATCTTCTACCAGAAAACTGAAGAAAGTCTATAGAGTTTTTTATAAAGCAATAAACTTTTTTTAAAAAAGGTTTTATTTATTTATTTTTGAGAGAGGGGAAGGAAGAAAGAGAGGAATAGATACATCAGTGTGTGGCTGCGTCTCACGCGCCCCTGACTGGGAACCCGGCCTGAAACCCAGGCATGTGCCCTGACTGGGAATCAAACCGGCAACCTTTTGTTTTGCAGGCTGGCACTCAATCCACTGAGCCACACCCGCCCGGGCTAGTGATAAACGTGTCAAGAATAAATCCAGAACCTACCTTAAACTTTATTTTTAGCTTTGGTGTTTCTGTAGGGACCTCTATCTTTTCTGTTTCCTGTTCCACATCAGAATCTATATGTGAATCTGATGATTTGGATTCTTCTAGGGTGTCAAGTGACGTTTCATTGACTTTACTTGAAAGCAGATCGCCAGAGTGTGGAATGAAATCATCAGGTTTTTCCCATCTGGATTCTACTCAACACATTTTAATAGTCATGTTATTGGGTTATCAACTTAATTCAGAAGTAATTCCCAACATAATGCTGCCTGTCACTTATATCATTAAATGACAATACTGCATATATTTCAAACCATCACTTGATCAAGAAAATAGTAAGAGCTTTTGTAAGCTCTTGTAGCTCTCAGAAGTTTATTACAAACAATCCTGATTCACTGGATGTTTCAACTATAGCCCCAATGGAAAGAACTAGCCAATACTTTATAAGGACTACCACAATTTGACATCAATTTCAGAAAATGTATTTTTTTCTGAAGCATACATCAGATTTCCTAGAATTTTTTACCACAAAGTTTTCCTGGAATCTTTACAAAGTGAAATCATACCATAAAAATCTAAATGAATGTTATTTGTCATTTTATAGTAGGGGGGAAAAACACGATTGAACTCTACTGCCACCCAGTGTTTTACTGGGCTTTCAGTAAAATGAGAGATTTCTAATTACCTTGCAGTTATTCTCTCTTTTTAGTTTAATAAAAGGGAAAGGGGTCCTAAAATATACTGTCTAATTGGGACAGTTTTAAGAGCATAAGGGGCTCTATTAATGATGACACCGATCCAGACAAAAACTGAAACTGTTGAGGACAAATCAATATATTTAGTCTCTTATTAATATAGGGTGCCTTCAAGCACTATTGAAAAAACATAACTTTTCTTTGTTGCTATTTCACGTAAGTAACAAAAGAACTTCCAGGAAATAAATAGGTCCTGTCTTAGGAACTTTACAGACACTTGATTCTCATGACCCCAGAGAATACATTATTGTCTCTATTTTAATTGAGCAATTATCGGCTCAATGAACTGCCCACAATAATATAGTTTATAGGGAAAGATGCTGTGCCTCTAGCTTAGATCTAACTTTAGAACTACACTATATATTACTTAATCTCTCTTAAGATTCGGTCCCTCAACTTTTTTTTAACTGCAGATTGATTTTATTTTTTTAAACGCCAAATCCATCATAAAATATTAAAAAATTTAAATCCATTATAAAGTCTCAGCAATTAAAACATGACACCAGCACAGAAATAATCAAGTAGATCAATGAATAAAATGAGCACTCTAGAAACAAATGTATGTATCTAACAATGTAATATATGATTAAACTGATATTTCAAATCATGGGTAAAATAAGGCTTATTCAACAAATAAGGTGCATGGATCACTATTACTTGAAATGAAACAAATATACAGCCCAATTTCACACATTAGGGAAAAAATATTCAGGTGGGTTAAAAATCAATTTGTAAAATCTAAGGAGTTTTAGGAGAAAATACAAAATAGTATTTTTCTTACCCTGAAGTAAAATATTCAAACCCAGAAGCTATAAAGTAAAATATGGACAATATGGCTATATTAAACACTTAAGACTACAGAGTAATAAACATATAGAAAAAGTTAAAGGACAGCTAGTGGAAAGTATTTCCAACACACCTAAAGAAGGGTTAATGATTTGTTTGTTTCTTTTTTGGGAAAAAGTTCTACAAACATTTAATCAAAACATGGATAAAGAATACCAAAAGGTCATTTAAAGCTTTTTAAAAACAATAGAAATAGGCAAGACATACACAGAAACACGTTTAGTTTCAACAAATAATAAAGTAACAATTAAAATAACACATCATGGTCACAATCAGAATAAGTATTAAAAATATTGGTAATATTAAGTATTGGTGACAGTGAAAGGAACTGGGTATTCAGAGACTCTTTTTCTTCATCTTCTTAAAGGAGTCCCTTTAGCATATCTTGCAATGATGCTTTGGTGGAGGTGTATTTTTTTAGCCTTCTTTTGTCTGGGAAACACCGTATTTCGCCTTCCATTTTAATGGGGAGCCTTGCTGGGTAAAGCAGTTTTGGTTGAGGCCTTTGCCTTTCATAACTTGGAGTATTTCTTGCCATTCCCTTCTGGCTTGTAGTGTTTCTGTTAAGAAGTCAGCTGCTAGCCGTTATTGGTGCTCCCTTGTAATGTTACTACCTCTTTCTCCCTTGCTGCCTTTAGGATTCTGTTTGTCTTTGATATTTGCCATTTTAATGATGATGTGTCTTGGAGTGGGCCTCATTGGGTTCCTCTTGAATGGGACCCTCTCTGCCTCCTGGCCTTGTGTGACTTTTTCTCTCCTCCAATTAGGGAAGTTTTCCGTCATTAGTTACTCAAACAGGTTTTCTATCCCTTACTCCTCTTCTCCTTCTGGTATCCCTGTTATCTGGATATTACTACGTTTCAGGCTGTCCTGCATTTCCCTAAATGTCTCTTCCTCCTCTTTTTTCATTTTATCATTTTATCATTTTCTTGCTCCTCCTGGGAATTTTTTTCTACCTTGTCCTCCAGTTTGCTGGTTCAATCCTCTGCTTCATCTAGCCTGCTTTTGATTCCTTCTCCTGTGTTCTTCAATTCAGAAACTGTATTCTTCATTTCCTTTCGCCTCTTATTGGTAATTTCTATGTCCTTTTTCACGCTGATATAGTTTGCAGTAAGTTCCGTGTAGTTTCCCTGTAGTGTTTTGTAATTCTGAGCTCACTGAGCTCATCAACCTTTCTTAGAACCACTGTTTTGAACTCGGTATCTGACAGTTTACTTGCCTCTATTTCATTTAGTTCTTTTTCTGGGGATTCCTACTTCCCTTCAATTGGGGGGCATTTGCCTTCCCATAATTTTTGACACTCTTCTTTTTTGCTTCTGCTTCTTAAGTTGATCTGTCTTGACTTCCTGACTTTGTGGTGTGAACTTCTATGATAGGAGACCACTGTTTTTTCTTTCTGGATCTGCCTCTGATGATGTCAGCTGTTGACCCCGTCTGACCTTAGGCAGTCGTCTGAGACTTCTAGGAATCTACTGTCTGTGGTTGTCTCCTTCAGTTGTTAATCTATTCACTCTGCACTCAGCAGTCAGGCTTTGACATCTCAGGGCGGGGCAGGGTTCCTCCTGGGAGCAGGGTACTGTGTCCTCTCATACTGCTGCTGCTCTGGGGAGTGGTCTGCCTGAGCAATATGGCTGCTACCGTATGGGGAAGGAGTTAGCACCGGGATCCAGCTGACTACTCTCAGTTCTCTCCCCAAAGCCTACATCCCCAGTTTCTCCTCAGGTGGCTCCAGCCCAGTCTGTCCCCACCTTTGTCTGAGACCATGGTAAGTGGCTGCAGATAAAAATTTATGCATTGGCCCTTTTAAAGGCTCTTTGCATCTCTAGCTGCCCGTCTCTGGCAGAGAGCAACCCTGTCGCTTTTCACAGCTCGTTGTTATCTGTGTACTTTTTGGGCTCTGCTGCTGCAGGCTGGAGATCACCATTATGGTTTAGACCCCGCTCTTCTCAGGGGGATACAATTCGCCATGTCAATATCCCTCTGGTGCTGCCGCCTGTGGGTGCCCCGCCCACCCTCTCCAGTCTCTACTGCACTCCTTACCGCTTAGGTTGTGCTAAAGCTGATTCTTCTGTCTATCTGAGGTTATAAGGCTCCTCTCTCACTATTGTTCAGTTTGTTCCAGGTGATTTTTCCCCAATTTAGTTGTAATTCCAGATTGGTCGTGGGAGGAGGTCAGGGTGACTTCCATTCACTTCTTCGTCATTGTGATTTCTTTCCTGGTACTTCAACTTAGCTGAGATGGAACCACTGCTATCATTGGGAAGGCTAGGTATCTACTTCAGAGTTTAAAAGGACCTTTCCTCCTAGAAGATTTTATGCTATGCAGAGGACTTAGCAAAACAAAAATCTGTCCAAGTTACATCAATATTATAGCTATTTCAGTGAGTTTAACTGCAGTGGAAATCAAGTATCATTAGTTGAAATCAAACTTTATGAAATTATATTAGAAATCTAATTGGAAAGACAGGTAATTAGGCAATAATAATCAATCATATTTTATAAAAACGTACATAATTGAAACATTATTAAACTGGTAAAAGTGAAAATTTGACAATCTCAGCCACTGCTAAAATAGTATCAGTTTTGGTTTTTAAAAAAGAAAAGGCAAGTTGAACTAGGTAATCTCTAAGGTACTTTCCAAGGTAATGATTACATTTCTAAAATAATCATGATAAAAGTCATGATCAATGACTCAATTTTGAAAATTTGTGAATGCATGTCCTGGCTGGTGTGGCTCAGTTGGTTGGAGCATTGTCCCATGTACCACTAGGCTGCAGGTTCGTTCCCTGGTTGGCAACCAATAGATGTTTCTCTTCTTTTCTCTCTCTCTAAAAGTAATGCAAAAATGTCCTCAGGTGAGGATTTAAAAAAAAAGAAGTGAATGGAGTATGAACTGAGAATTACAATGCACAGCACAGTATACTATATATAGAAGTCCTTTTTCCTTTTCCATTGTATTAATGTTTTTAAATTACAAAAAAATACATACTTGCTGTAAAAATAAGTTTATCACTGTATGTACCAAAAATCTCTAGTTCAGGTGATTCATAAGAAAGTCAGTAAGAAGTTGCAGGTGCAATTTCAGATAGTTAAGATAACCAAGAGTAATACTTACCTCCTGTTTCTGTATTATAATAATAGGTAAAACCATCTTCACTTAAACCTTCTACCCAAACAGCCTTCACTGATGTCTAAAGAAAGGGGAAAAAACCACATAAACTGAAAACAATGTGGTTATATATTAGATAAGTAAGGCAGAATTAACCACCCTTTCCTTTCCTCTTGAAACCTGCAAATAGGGGTTGTGGTACCAATCACTGCCAGAAAGCTTGGTTTGTGTTAATTATAAGCCAACTTTCAGGAAGAGACTGTCTCACCACTGAAAGCTAGGAACAATTTCTCACAGATGGACAGGGGGTATATAAATGGCAACTAATAATATCTGTCCTGCAAAAAGTTATGGATAGACATCACTTTTAACCTCTACCCAGTCTTCTAACAAAAAGATTATAGGAAGAGGAAGAGAGAAACAAAGAGGTTGTGGGGGAGCCTGTTTGAAAGTAAATTTGCTGAGCCCTCCCTGACTGATGTGTGTGTGGTTCAGTGGGTTGGGCGTCCTCCCACAAATCGAAAGGTCACTGGTTAGATTCCCCTTGAGGGCACATGCCTGCATTGCAGACCAGGACCCTGGCTGGGGGTGTGCAAGATGCAACCAATCAATGTTTCTTTTTACACACTTATGTTTCTCTCTCTTTTTCCCTCCGTTCCCCTCCTTCTAAAATAAATAAATAAAATCTTTCTTTAAAAAAGTAAATTTGCTTAACAAAACTCTACAAAAACCCCAGAAGCCAATCACTTAGGAGAATAAAGCAAAGACACTATCGATGTACTTCACTTACCTTTTTTAAGTTTCCTTGAAATCCTTCGGGTTTCTCCCATTGAGAAGCTTAAAGCAAAATATGTGGCACTTAGAAAATCTTTTTTGCTTTAAAAAAGTTTCAAAAATTTCAACTTGGCAAAATTTTATAATCTATTCAATATGTACAAAACACTAAGTTCTGAGTGACTATTTACTATTTCTATGTAGTTCAAAACTCATTGTGACTCTTAAGATCTTAATAATTACAATAATACTTACAGCCCAAGGTTTGCTTCATGATTAACTCTGGTCTCATTTCCTGCTTTCCTGACCATTCCTAACTTCTTTTTCCTGGCTTTTCTTTTATCCATTCCTTTAATTTATGTACTAGGTACCCATGTTACTTTTTGCTCTCTTCTCTCTCTTTGCGATCTCATATACTCCTAAAAGTTAACATATTATCTACGCCCCTAGCTTCAATTTATCTTCCTAACTCCCAACTCTAATCATCAATTAGCTACTGAAAACTGCCACATGAATGTTCTATAGGTATTTCAATATAACCAAAAGTGAATTAATTACTGTCTTACTTAAACTTCCTGTTTCCATGTTTCATCTCTCAGTAAAGAGCACCATGATTTTCCAAGCCCTCCACAATATGGCGCCAATCTATTTTTCCAGCCTCTTTCTTCTGCCATGACATTGTCAAAGAAACTGATGCTTTACATCCACTAGATGAGTCTATCTATCAAAAGGTTGTTGACATTCCTGACATCTTCATTTTAACTTATCAGCTCATAAGTAATTTCTGTGATAATCTCTCAGATCCATATAATCACAATTTCTCACTAATAATAATCTTAATTACATCTCTATTATATTATAGCTCTTCAAAATTTCTCTTTGTATCATGTGTTGTTTATTTTTTGATACTAAGTTTTATGTTTCTAGAGAGTATATGTTTAACAAATTCATTTATTTATGCCAGAATTTATATGGAATAAAAATCCCAAATATTTAGTTTTAAAGGAAAATAAAAAGGTGTTTTTGATAGTCTAAGAAATTCCATGATGTATTTTATCAGATATGGACATCCAAAACATTAGTGCGGGGAGGGCTACTTTACTAGGTCAATCAAGACAGCGACACAAAAAAGAAATCAGTTTCTGGTTCCCAGTCTGCTTCTGGATAGAAAATCTCTTCCACATAGTATTTTATTTTAAGGACCCCTGAAATTTGTGAAGTAGATCTGAAATAACTTAATTCCATGTAAAAATGCTTTATTTACATGTAGTTCATTGTTTTAGAAGATTTTATTGAGAAAATATAAAGTTTCAGTTTATTTGTAAGGAACCCCCTATTAAAGGCTTTAACTAACTATAGTACTGAGAAGGTACCCATGAGAAGGGTAATTTTTTAAAGGAAATACTTTTTTTTAACCATTGTGGCAAAATGTAGTTATAAGTCTTTCACTGCTTAAATATTCTAATATTAATATAAAATCTAAAGACAAAAGAAACCATCAATTCTCTATAATTCTATGCCTACATGACTTACCTCCTGTGATAAGATCATAATAGTAATGGTAACCCTCAGAGGTTATGCCTTCTACCCATCTGCCCTTTGAAGACTCTTTTTTCCTTTTCTTCTTTTCTTTCTGCTGATTTGATGCAGAGGTGGGTGGGACAGTGCTGGTTTCTGGTGATATGCTTGGCTCTGATATTTCTAGAGGAAAGATGAGAGAAGGGTGAAGTAGACAATATAACGCCCTCCCCACCCCAGGACAAAATGTTAATAATGTTATCCCAATAAAAAACCTGGTGAGATTCTTTTGGGAACTTGACACATCATTATAAAGTTCATGTGGAAAATTAAACATGCACCAACACCCAGGAGAATTACAAAGAAGTAGTAAATGGGAAATCTAGTACTACCAGGTATTAAAACTTATTCTAAAGCTATGGTAAAAAAGACCAACAGTGTAAAACTGATCCAGGAACAGGCAAACATAGGACTGAAACAGAACAGTACAGAAATAGATCCAACGGCAGATTGCTGGTGTTTCTTATTAGAGGGAAAGAGAGATCATTTAATAAATGATATTGGACTAACTGGCTAATTATTTGGGAAAAAGTTAAAGTATTTCAGATCCACTTCACAAATTGCAGGGGTTCTTAAAATACTTTTTGGAAGAGATTTTTCTATCTAAAAGCAGACTGGGAACCAGAAACTGGTTTCTTTTTTTGTATAGCTATGTTGACTGACTTGGTACCTCCAATGTTTTAACACCAATATAAATTTCAGATCAAAGATATTGACAAAAAGAACACAAAGTAATACAATGTTAAATCTGACTACATAAAAATTCAAATATTCTGTATGATAAAAATAAAAACAAAAATACACAGAGAAAAAAAACAAATGACAAATATTTATAAAAAATATGGCAGAGGATTAATGTTCCTAACGAAAATCCCTTCCAAATCCAATCCTGTAATAGAAAAATGGGCAAAAAAGTACAAAGGTAATTCAGAAAATTAACATTACCTTCATTAATACTCAAAGATGTACAAATAAATATAATTTTTTTGCACTAGATTAATATGTACTGAAAAGAATAACCAAATCCAGTGTTAGTATAACTAATCTATGGGTGTGAAAAAATAGGTAATTTTTGTATCTTTACTTTTTCCTAAAGGAATGGCCAGTTATTCCCAAAATCAGTTAATACAGTATTCTAGCGAAAGTGCAAACCTTGGAAACATTACTGAACAAAGCTTGGTATTAACTATCAATGTATAAAATATATTCGGACTTTGATTCAGCAATCTCACTTCTAGAAAGCAAACTTACAGGGATGTGAAAACACGCATATAAAACGATGTTCACTCAAGCATTCTAACGATGAAAAACTCTAAGCAACCTGAATGTTAATCTGGACGAAATTAGTAAAATAAATGTTGGCATATTTATGGCACTTTATACCCTTTATTAAACACCTTCTACAAGAGGTCATTTTCAGGTAAGAAAAAAAATGACAACAGCCAACACAAGAGCCATCTGGTGTAAATAAATCAAAATTATACCTATTGCCCTGGCAGGGTGGTTTAGTTGGTTGGAGCATCATCCCATATACCAAAGGGTTGCAGGTTCGACTCCTGGTTGGGGCACATGCAGGAAGCAAAAGATCGATGTTTCTTTCTCACACCAATGTTTCTTTTTCTCTCTTTCCCTTCCTCTTGCTCTAAAATCAATATAAACATATCCTCAGGTAAGGGTTAAAATTTTTTTTTTTTATTTTATACCTATTTATTTTGTCAGATTAGCAAAAAATACATTTTTGGGTGTGCTGCAGAATTTTAGTAATTAGGTTATGTATCCCGTGACATGAAAAAGGTGAAAATCACTGGCATAGAGTAATGAATACAGTCAAAAACATTGTACTACAATTCAGTAATGTGATAAATATCACTATAGTGGCGATGGTATTACACTGTATAAGTGTATCAAAGTAACAGACTGTATACCTTAAATTTACACTATGTTTACATCAAATATATTCAATTAAAAAATCAAAAAGGAAAAAAATCATCTGTCTTCTAGCAATAGTCAAACTGTCCACAAAAGGCCAATTCACTGTTATTCAACCACATAAACAAACATGATTCAGATTTCACCATATAGATAAACTGAACTATATAGTTATAATGCAATTTTTTAAAAAAATATTTTATTTATTTTTAGAGAATGTGGAAGGCAGGGAGAAAGGGAGAGAAACTTTGATGTGAGAGAGAAACTTTGATTGGTTGCCTCTCATACTCACCCTGACCGGGGACCAAACCTGCAACCAGATATGTACCCTGAGAATAATCAAACCAGCAGTGACCTTTTGCTTTGCAGGACGGCACCCAACTGAGTCACACCGGTCAGGGCACACCACCTATGATTTAATGAATAGATTCTTTTAGCCAAATAATTAGAATACCTAAAAGACTCAAATGTCTCTGAAATGAACCACTGACCTAAGATAGAACTAGGATTAAGTAACTACCAAGGTCATTTAGTTGTTGTGAATGGGATGTTAAAATATGAAGCTTTAAAAGCAAAACCAAAGTGCATGAGCAAACTCCCACAGTCTAAACAGGGCTATGATGCATAGGAAAAGCACTACGAATATATCCTGATTGTATAACCTCTTTATGGAAACAATAAAAGCTAACTTAGCATGACCTCTGATGTTACTTTTAAAACATGTTGACTGGTTTTTTACCTGACTCTAAGCCAAGCCTTTTCAAATCCTCTTGGTATGCTTTCAGGGCAGCTGCCTCCATTGCAGCAAACTCCTTTGATGCCTTTTCTTCTTCCTTTGCCTTATCCAGGCTTTTCTGTTTAATCTACGTAAGACATATAAAAGTGAAAGCTAGATAAACGGCTGATATTTACATAGAAAAACTGCCAAAGAAAGAAACTAAATTACCTCACTGATCCTCTTTGCCACATTTTCCTTATGATTCTTTCCCCTTTCATGAAATTCAACACTCTTGAAAATGAAGAAAAGAGAAAATACAAAGGAAAACTGCATAAACATCATAAAACTACATAAACATCATAATGTTCACAGTAAAGTAACAGTAAATTTGAGAATGGAACATAAAATTAAAATAAATGACTGGTACAAAAGATAAAAATTTTAATGCAAATCGGCCCTGTTTATCAAACAATGCTACAGAACTGGACTACATTATTTATTATTATGCCCTCTGACTAGGTCTCCTTCAGTGTTTAAAATAAACTACGATGACCATATTAATGGAAGAAAATACAAGGTACACTTCATGACTAATCTAGTGAACATGATTGTAATGAGGACTCAAATGAGAAGACGCCAAAAGGGGAGTGGAAAAACATCTTAACTTTAAGAAACACCTCTCAACATAAAATGTCAAAACTTGTAGGTGTATAGAATTTATACTTCTCTATTTGACACATTATGTAAGAGAAAATAAACTATAATCTTTAGAGTAGTTTTCCACCAAATTGGGAGAAAAGTAGACATTAAAAAATTCATCCTAAAAATAGTAAACTAATACTTTTATACAATGTGGTAATGGTACAAAACATAAACTCTTATGCAGGGCAATTTGGAACCATCCATCCAAATTAGACTGCTGAAATATAGAACAAAAAAGCTCCCTAAAAATTAATGTGAATAGAGTTCTAGGATATACTGTTTAATTAAAAAACCCCAAAAACCAAAAAAAACAAACCCATGGTGCAGAATAGTTTGCACGTCATGCTACCCTTCATTTATGCTGGAGTAAGAACCTATGCCTATATGCATATAGAAACAATAGAATGATAGACAAGAAAATTAGAAAAAATTATTTTCAGGAAAAAGTAGTAACCCATGAAGAATGACAGTAACTTGGATGAATGGGGACAGAGGTGGATGAGTAAATTTTATTACCTATTTAAAACCACCAGAAATGCTCCCTGTGGTTATATGCAATAACAATTATCTGGTAAACTTTGCAAAAACAAGTTTTGTCAAATCTTACACAATGTATTAGCTGAGCAATTCTAAAGTACCACTGTGAATTCCTCTTTAAAAGTGTGACTTTTAAAGGCAAATGTTCATCCTTTATTTTTCATATATTAATTTTTCTAAAATTGATTATACCTCACAAAGACTACTGCTGGCCCATTCAAAAATACATTAATTTTGTTTCTAATTAATGGTTAAATTGGTGTGTATTAGCAATTCAAGAAGATGAAGAACGACTATCCTAGAGGATTATATACCTTACCTAACTCATAATATTCATTGAACTTCTTGGGTACCTTTAATTAAGGGAGATTATCAGTGATTTGTGTAGGTTTTAAAATTTGTGGCATTTACTTGTAGAGACGGCCTACGTCAAAAAAGATAGTCAAGAACTTCAGCAACTATTCAAAAAGACCAAAAACAAAACAAAACCCAAAATAAAATGATCCCCAAACTCTTTGTAAACAATAGTAAATAAACATCTACTAAATACAACACTGTCACAGAGAGGGCTATTCTTTTTGTACGTCCAACTCTAGCAAGTAAAAAGGATATGTATATGTAACATATTTTAAAAAAACCCTACTGTATAGGTACTATGTATATGCACAGGAGGGGTAAAAACAAACATACAAATAAACAAAACCAAAGCAATGGTGCCGCTTTCTATGTCTTAAAAGCTGAAACTAGACTAAAAGCTATAGTAATACAATTTACTTAAAAGAGCTGCTATTTTCATATTCCATAACAGAAGTCATAATGTTCTTTCAAATTGAAGCATTTATAGACATAAAGCTCTGCATCAAATATATTTAATTATCTCTAGAGCAAAAACCTTACAAGAAAAACTACAATATTTCTTTTTTATATATTAAGGGCTTTTCCCCTGTATGTTCTAGTGTTACAAACAACACCATCAGAACCAGGTATTTCACAGACATGGATGAGATTACCCTGTGTTCATTTTCTGAATTTGACTGAAGGACTATAGTAAAATAATTGGACTTAATACATATATAATCAAATTTAGGCTCATGAAAAGGAAGGAGGACACAGGCTTCCTACAAGGAATGAGAATAGAAATGTTTCAATGTTTTGAAAAATCTAAAGCAACATATATGAAAATGGTTTGTAGACTCTTAGGTTTAGGTCAAAAAGGAACACTTCACATAAATACATTTTAGAATCTCTAATAATGGAATTATCATACAGGCCTATTGTCCGCTATCCAGCACTTGCAGTAATCACAGAATTTCTTTGGTTGTGACTTCCAGTAGTCTGCCCTGAAAAAGGGAAAAAGAAGTCTCAGCTTACTTATAATTTAAAAAGTTAAAATTCTGCATGCTTTACATCTTCTTCGAGTTCGAAATATAAGTCTCTGCCACCTGACTGAAGCAGGGAAGTGAAATTGTTGTCAGTCGAGTAGGAAAGTCTGCACCGGATTTAAAACTCCCTTAGATAAACAGCTTTAAAAGTTTTTCCCCTCATTTGTTAATGTCATCAGTGTGAAGAAATGAGGAACATCTTAGAGAAGGTTTATCTTTTCCATTCCTTTCTGGCATTTTGAGAGGTTGTTGTAATGGAGGCCTGAAGAAACTCATCAGATTACTTCTACCAAAAGAACAAACAAAGCACAAGATTAGTCTGGTGGGAGGCTGTGGTTCCTCAGAGGCCATCAGTTAATAAAATTTGTTCTGGAGCCTGAGGGCAAGAGAGAGTTGGAAAAGCCAAGGGACCTTTCAGTTGGCAAGACAAGGGGGGGGGGGGGGGATCATGAACCGGGGCTCGCCACCTCTAGTAGGCGGAGAGAGTCAGCGGTGGACACAGCCCAACCCCTAAAGTTGCACAATACTTCAAGTTCCAAGCACTGTAGAAACCAAAAGGCTTCTAGCGACCACCGACTGTATAGGTGGAGGGAGCACCCCGTAGCTTCCCGGGCGTCCATCCAACTTCGCCGGGAAACAAACCTCCCCCCCGAGAGCCCATCCTCTGTTTCCCCGAGACGCTCCGCGAGGTAGCATATCCACCCCACCCAGACAACCGGCCCTACCGGCCCAGACCCGGTCCCGAGCGAGTTAAGGGCGCATCCGTCACGCCTCCAGCCAGAGGGCGGGGGCGGGGGCGAGGGCGAGAAGGGGGCTGGTGGTGGAGGAACGGAGACGGCGGAAAAAGGGCCGCCCAGAAAAACAACGCATCCTTGTTTAGAGCCCGAGACCCAACTCACATGACTGGACCAGCCGCTCCACGCGTCACCCCCGGGTCCGGCTCAAGATAGCGTTCCCCACGCAGGGAACGAAGCAGCCCGGCCAGGAGCAAGGCCCACCCCAGTTTCCGAGCTCCAACACCTCCCTCCTACCCCCGGACCAGTGTTCCACGGTTCCCAACTACGGGTGCCCTGATGACTCAATCCGCGTTCAAAAATCTCCTCCTTGTCCCCTCCCCCTACAGGGGCGGTACTCCCGACTTCTGAGCGGTGGGGTCTGTATAAAGGGGTTGAGGTCACGGAGAAGGAGCAAAAGCGCGACGGGACTTAGCTGGAGGACCCGAACCAGAAACCTCAAGTCCCCGCGTCATCCCGCCAGCTCTCTCTTGCCCTGGGAACCAGTACGTCCACCCTCCCTCTAGGCTCGCTGGCTCGTGGCCAAGGAGCTCGCGCGCCGCCTCCGCCCCGAACGCAAACAGCTGTTCCCCGAGACGTCGCCGCCCTAAACTTTGCCAAGTACTCCACACGCACTTTGCCCAGCGGAGCAACCTGGACCTGTAGGCTGGGTGCTGTTGGCAGAGTTTAAAAAAAAAAACAAAAAACGGCAAGGTGAAGCAGTTGGTTTCGGGGCCACGAGTTGCTGGGGTTTGCCTCAGAACTTTTCTGCGGTGGCGGATCGGACGCGTTCCCTTTCCTCTACGCCCGCGCGCTAGGTCTGGGCTTGTTCCCTTGCTCTGGAGCGTGTGGGCAGTGGCGGGAGCGGCTCCTGTGGCGCAGAGGCGGCGGAGCCAAACTAACGACAAGAAGTGGAGAGGAGACACGGCAGCACCGGCGCTTGTCAGGTGAGTCACTACAAGACCATCGACAGGACTTCCCATATGGTCTAGCGGTTAGGATTCCTGGTTTTCACCCAGGCGGCCCGGGTTCGACTCCCGGTATGGGAATGTGAGACTTTTTTTTTTTTTTTTTCCTTCTCTCCTCTTTTTGCTCCCCCCACCTATAAAGGCTTTGGCAACTATGTTTCCAATGACTGGCTCCCTTCCTACCCCTCACCGGGTGAGTTCGTGGAAAGCGAGCATTCATGTACTTATTATCTGCAGATTGACGGGGCTGCGGCTTTGGGAGCCACAAGTACTGCGCCAGGCAGGCTGAAGGAGCGAGTGCGCTGTTACTGCCTCTCCTCCCGCCAGGGTCTGGCGGCGCTGAGCTCCCGGGAAGAAGTTTCACTTTCCCTAGGGCTTCCTACCCGCCGCTGCGGTCCTCAGCCATCCTTTTCCAGACGCTTGGGAGGTGTTGATTAATTATGGCCTTGCCTTATCTCGTCCCAGCTGGCCCCTCAGGCCCAGAGTTTTCTCGGCCTCCCCCTTCAGACAGTCCCAAGAGAAGCGGGGCATGGCTGCCCCTTACCCTCGGCGCCCGGGAGTCCGCGTCCAGCTAGCAGCCCTCGGTAACTCTTCGCTGCGTAACGAGAACCCCCACCCGCCCCAACACAAAGCAGCTTTCCAGGGGGCGCTCGCCTAGGGCGAACGAGACTTCCCTGCTTGGCAGCGCGGCTGGTCGGCTAGCCCGAGTGCCCGCGGGCTTGCTTTCCCTTCCGCGCAGCTGCCAGTCACCGTGGAATCAGCCGCGCGTCCACCCGTGTCTCCTGCAGCGCCGAAGCTCAGCCAGCGATTTTGTCCCAACTTAACACAGGCGCGCTGGCTACAGTTCCTAAGTACCTCAGACTCTTTTGCCTGGGAAGGGGGGAAGGGAAATTTCTCCCCTTTTTTCTTTTGAAAACTACACAGCATACACACAGATACACGGGCTGCGGAGAAGAAAAGTAACACTACGATGAGATGTGTTGAAAAAAAGAAAACTGACTTTCCAAAGGGTCTAACTCCTTAAGCGCCGCTGATAGAAAACCCTGGGGTGGAGGTGGGGCTTGGAAGAGAGAATATTGGCCGGAGACTGGGAGGGGATGTTACAACAAAGTTTCACTGTATTTTTAAATATAGAAGCCTTGTGTTTATTACGAAGAAGGGGTAGCTGTGTCAGCAGCATGTGAGCTGTAAATGAAACAAAAGCGTTATCTTGAACGCAAGCTGAAATTAGAAAATGGGGCAAGCTATATAATGTTTAGTCTATTGGGCCTCTGAGAACAAATGAAGGAGGAAAAGTGGCTCTTGTGCAGGGTTTCTGGTCAGTGCCATTACTAAGAACAGAAGTTTTGGTTGCTAGTATGTGCATTCCCAAACTGTTTTATAGTTTTTAACTGCACAGTGAGTTTTGAATTAATCTGTTAATATGAACTGCATTATTAAGGATTAATTATGTTTACGTTATAAATAAGCCTCCACAACTAAAATTTTATAATTATCTTTATTAATCCAAATATTTGAACATTTACTCTATACCAAGCAGCATTAGATGCTTTTGAAATTACTGGTGTTCATTCAGGCTCTTCATGTTAGGAGCTAGTGGATAGAATACAGAATAGAATTGTACTTTGGTCCTTGTGATGTAGATCTTTCACCTTCTGTGCTCTGGATTTAGAGCTATAGATTCTTGATAATGCGTAACGCTTACAAACTTTGTTGAGCAGTTCTTAAGTAGGTTATGAGAATGGAAATGCTTCATCTAAATGGTGGAATTGTATGATCATTAAGAAACCATTTACTAAAGAATTACATCCGAATTTGGAAGGAAAGACTGCTCTGCCTTAATTGTCTGCAAAAAGGGCTTAATTCTGACTGCATTTTATAATGACTTGGTAGCGTACCGTGCTTCTACCAAATGGTGCCAAAGTGGATGAGGTTTTCCATTGAGCACCCACTAATTGCAAAATACTTTACTCTGCATGTACTTGAGGGTATGTTGAAGGGAGTGGTTTGGTGACAATGTTTCTGTCCAAAATGCAGCTTCTTGTAACTGTGTCCTAGGCAGCACTGAGTAAGGCAGCATTTGAGTTGTGGAAGTCCTGCAGGAGCACAGAGGGGGGAAATCAGATCTGCTCTGGGATGAGGACTGCAGAGGAGACATGGACAGGAGAGTGCTTGCACTGGGCCTTGAAGAACTGGTTGGATTTCTCCTGGAGGGGAATGTGAATCATAAAGCTGAGATAGGGGAGCAAGTATGATGCTGGCAAGTAGTATGGTTCTACAGGAACCGAGCACACAGTGCCCAGAGGGAGAGCCACAGGACATGAAGCTGGGACTAAATAACAGGTTCTTTTATCAAGGATGTGTCATTTTTGTTAGTAGAGTCTTAAGAACATCATTTTTTTGTCTCTTTGAAAAAAAAAAACATAGCATAATATGTGACAGTGCTTGTTTAAAAGATTCTAACACTGTAAAAATGCATTACACTTTTTTTGCATATGTAGAATATTTTGTGAACATATGTTTTATGTTCAGCAATTGAATATTTTTTAATTGGTAGAAAGGACAGAGCTGCTAGTTACTATCAGTAAGGCATACACCTTAAATTGGTTAAGAGTGGGTGATAAATTTGTAAGGATTCATTCATATGCTTGTAATTCATATGTATGACTGCAGAAACACCACCGGTACTCATGTTTAGATGTTCTGTCATAGGCCACAAAATAAAGTGATAACTGATTAAATGGCATGGATTTACCCAAATAGTCTCTTTAATATTTGCTACTATTACTTGCAATTAGAAAATATATAAATTCAGCAACTGTTTATACATAGAGATACACCTATTTTTAAAGAAATATAAAATATTTTTAAAAATGATGTCATTTAGAGATACAAAGATCTTGCTACCATGATCTCTGAGGCCCAAGATTATCTGGCCTCTGCTTACCTCCCCAACTTCATCTCCTACCTCCTCTTCCTCTTCACTATACTTTAACCACGCTGGCTTCCTTTTCTTGGTTCCTTGAACTTGTCGTATTTGTTCTTTTCTCATTTTTATTTCTTGCTGTTTGCACTGCCTGGAATATTTCCCCTCCAGTTCTTTACATCTTAGGTCAGCATTACCTTTTCAGACATTTCTTTTCAGACCACCCTAGCTAGAGACTCCCTTTTGATTTGTTACTTTCTGTTTAGTTTATCCTGTTTTCTCCTTTTTCTTTTTTATTTTATTAAGTTTTGGGGGGTGACATTGGTTAATAAGATCATATAGGTTTCAAGTGTACAATTCTATGATACATGATCAGTATGTTGCATTGTCTGCACACCACCCAAGTCAGATCATCTTCCATCATTGTATATTTGGCCCCCTTCTTTTTCTTACTGTCTAAAATTAATGTATTTTTTTTTCCTGTTTACTTCTTGTCTTATTCCACCAGAATATAAATTCCATGAGGTAAGGATATCGTATAGTGAGATCGTTCTTATACTATAAGATTCAAACAACAGATGTTGGAACTCTCATGCATTTCTGGTAAAAAATGTAAAATGATGTGGTTACTTTGGAAAAGAGTCTGGCAGTTCCCTTAAAATATTAGACATTGAATTACCATATGACCTGGCAATTCCACTCCAAGGTATATACCCAAGGAAAATTAAAACATACTTGTATGCCCACACAAAAACTTGTGCACAAATATTTATAGCAGCATTATTCATAAGCAGAAAGTGGAAACTACCCAAATGCCCATCAACCAATAAATTAATAAATCAAATGTGGTATATGCATACAATTGAATATTCTTTGGCAATAAAATGAAGTACTAATACATACCACAGCATTCACCAGTCTGAACAATGGTAGGCTAAGTGAAAGAAGCTAAGCTGAAAAGACCACATCTTGTATGGTATCATTTATATAAAATTTCCATAATAGGCAAATCTATAGAGAAAGAGGATAGATTATGGTTACCTAGGATTGGAGAGTGAGGGGGCATAATAAGAGGATGGGAAAAGACTGCTAATGTAGGAATAAAGTTTCTTTTTAGGATAATTAAAATGCCCTAAAGTTAGATGTGATGATGGCTGCACAATTCTGTAAAAACATTTGAATTCTTTCAATGGATGAATTTTATGGTATGTAAATTATATCTCAAAACTGTTAAAAAAGATTGAAGCAATAAAAAGCATATAAAATATTTGTCTCTACATTTTGCATTTATCATTTGGATATTAAATATTTAAAAATAATTCTGGAATAACTTAACACTGCAATTCTAGCTATTAAGATAGTTCAGGAATGTAGCAAATGCTCAGTAAACAGCTAATTAAGGAGGTTCCCCTAGTGTTCTTTCACTGGTACTTGGGAAACAGAGATCAAAGTGTCGGGTTTTTTTCTCCTTTCCTCTAACAGTTTTCAACTCAAGACTGTCCAGTCAGGAGTACAACTTTGAAGCAGGAACTTCGACTTGTTCCCCTCAGTATCATCAGCACTTGGAGCAGTACTCAGCACTCTGTATTTAGAAAATTTTTGAATGAGTGAAAACCAGGAAGTTGCAGGTCTATTCAAAGTGAAGTTTATTTTACAAATGCTCTTGACTCTTGCAGAATATTTAAATTTTATTTGTTTATTAACATTTTATTCTCACCCAAGGACATGCTTGGAGAGAGAGAGACATCAATATGAGAGAGACAAAATCAGTCAGGGACCAAACCTACAACCCAGACATGTGCCCTGACTGGAAGTTGAACCCGTGATCTTTTGGTTTATGTCAGCACCCCAGCTAGCTGAGCCATACCTGCCAGGCAACTCATGCAGAGCATTTGGATAGAAGATTTTGGACGGTTCTGATTATGAAGGTCCTCGAATTTTGGGATAAGGAATTTACTTAGCTAGGAGAAGGGAATTCAATATAAGTGTTTTAATGAAATTAATTTGGTAGTAGTTTGTAGGATGTACTGGAGGACAGAAGGATTGTGTTTAT